CTGCTTCCTGCCCCCCTTCCGGCCAGCACTGCCCCCTGTATATCTTATTTCGACCTACGGGTGCAGTTTAGTGAAGACATTACCCTCATAGGGTACGTCTACACTAGCTCATTAGTTCGAGCTAGGTAGGGTAATTAGGGCAAGCGGAATTGCAAATGAAGCCCGGGATATTTAAATATCCCGGGCTTCATTTGCAATTCCGCTTGCCCTAATTACCCTACCTAGCTCGAACTAATGAGCTAGTGTAGACGTACCCTATGAGGGTAATGTCTTCACTAAACTGCACCCGTAGGTCGAAATAAGATATACAAATTGCGTATCTTATTTCGATCTAATTTCAAAATAGCTTATTTCAAAATCTGGAGTTGTCTACAAATTTTGAAATAAAGCGCTATCCTGAAATGTTCCTTATCCCTCATGGAAGGAGGATTCCAAATAGCAGGCATGTTTAAAGATGCGGAATAGCTATTTTGAGATACTTGCGGTATACCAAAATAGTGCTGCTGTCAAGATGTAGCCTAAGGCTACAGCTACGGCTACGGCTACGGCTACACTAAGAACTTTTTCCAGAAGAGGAAATGCAAATGGAGTGCTCATTTGCATATTCTCTTCTAATCCTTTTCTAATATTCTAATTAGAATTCTCTTCTAATTCTCTTCTAAACCAGATAGGTGCACAGCAAATGCTGTAGAATGTGGATGCTTTTGACATGCTTGCAGGAACAAAATATACTGTGCTAATCACAGACAGGGGATGGTGATTTTTGAATTTTCATTACTCAACCAAATCTGAACGGATTATCAGGAAGCCAGCTATAAGGCACTTCATAAAAACAGTTGCACTTACTGTTACAATGGATAGTCAAGTATCAGAGGGGTAAAGCGACAAGGAGTCCTGTGGCACCTTATAGACTAACAGATGCATTGGAGCATAAGCTTTCGTGGGCAAAGACCCACTTCGCTCCAATGCATCTGTTAGTCTATAAGGTGCCACAGGACTCCTTGTCGCTTTTACAGTGGATAGTGTTATTCAACCTTAGTACAGGCTGATACTATAATGATGCATATTGATCTACTTATGATATATCTGCATCAGGACAGCATGGCACTCTAAAAGGTGATTCACCCTGAAAGAGGCCCGGCATCACCATCACTGTCTTTCTACCTTCACTATTTCTGATGTGGGAGGCCAACTGTGATTTCCACTAAGGACTCTGTTGGAGCCCTGCCATAAACTGCTGAGGGTATATGCAGAATCAGTGCACCTTCAGCTGCCTTCATAATGTCCTCTTTCTGGCTGGTACTGTTCTCATCACCTCATTTTCACTGCTGCATCTTTTCAACCTCACTAGACTCTATGCCACTGGGATCCTGCACATGGATTTCTGCCAGCTTCAATTGATAGAAACCTGAACTTGATCTGAGTCTGAAAAAAAGAAAAATAAAATATGACAGGAATGTATAAAATAATGAATGAACAGAGAAAGGCAACCGAGCACAGCTAACAATTACTGTGTTCTGTAACATCAGAACAAAAGGACACTTAAAAGGAACAACAGATAAAATGTGTGAAAGGACAAACTTTAATCACACAATATATAATCAATGTGACTCATTGCCACAGGGTGTTGGAAAATAATAGAAAAAGTAAAAAGAAAGATTTATCATATTTGCATCAAAA